AATACTTTTTTCATACATTGATGATTTACAAGGTACATCTACTTATAGGAATATCACCTCCGAAATAAGGAAATTACCTAAATTCTTATATCTTAAATAAGGAAATTACCTAATTGCTTACAGTTATTTCCTATTTTATAAGGTACATCTACTTATAGGAATAACCATGAAAACATAAATAAATAGAGGAAAATACTTTTTTCATACATTGATGATTTACAAGGTACATCTACTTATAGGAATACCACCTCCTAAATAAGGAAATTACCTAAATTCTTATATCTTAAATAAGGAAATTACCTAATTGCTTACAGTTATTTCCTATTTTATTACATAGTTAATTATGCAAGATTTGTACAGCTACACATTAATCTATAAAAGGAAAATCATTAATGTTGTAAATCAAATTGGATTTTCAACAAGAAGCATACCACACTTTTTCTCAGTTATAAAATACATTGTCAGCGCATGCCGCTGGTAAAGAAAAACTCATGCTAAAAAATATCGATAATATCCTACATGTTTGAGGAGTACTGGTTTTCTGAGATGAATATTGAGCTAACTAACCCAGTGAAGCTATTTACATGACAACTTGGTAAAACTCCACGCGAGAAAACATAAACAGCAAAGATAAAGATGATGAAATCAGTACTAACATGAGAAATACTCCAGAAGTAATGGAGATGCATACACTAGCAACAATGAAATATGCTTGTTGTCAAGTAAAACAAAATAGTAACATTTGTTGGATTTATATAAATTAGAATTTATATGTAGGTTGAAGCTTCAAACATACCCATAATAGCAGATGAGAATCATGATAATGAGCTATTAATAAATTTTGTCTTGAACAAATAATGCATAAAACATTGATGACAACCAATGACTTTTTAGATTACAATAATCAAACGCCAATTAGCCATACTAAAACTTTTGACATGAAATATATCTTATCAGAATGATGGGTAGTTCCAAATAAATCTTTTGAGCAAATATGATGCGGCAGCTTACCGGGATTCAGTATTGTAGCTGGACGTGGCACTGAGCAGCTACAGTACAGAGAACACCCAAAGCGAGAAGATCCTCCCTTTCCAAAATTGTCGCCCTCTTCCTTTCCTATTGCCCTTCATTTTCTATTTCTATTCCTTTCATATTTCTAGTCATTTTCTATTTATTTTCCTTTCCTTTTTTTTTCCTTAACTATTTCTCTTCCATTACTCTTTCTATTCATTCCTCTTCTATCCCTTGCCTTTTTCTATTCCCTTCCTAATTCTATTTCCTTCTTATTCTAATTTCTTCCTATTCTAACTACTATTACCTAATATAAATATGTTGTTTGTCGTCTTAGGGTTCAATTTTTTGTCTTCCTGATTTCATATTTCTGTTGAGCTTATCGTCGACAGTTGTTTTCCCTTCTAGGGTTGTCTCTGAAGGAGAAGTGGTGCTCTAGTTGTAATACGTCCGAGGTGGTGATATTCTCCAACGGTTCAAGAGGTGCTCCGGTTGTAACTCGATCATGCGAGGATAGTTGTACTTCCATATTCCCCTCCACTTGCTCGTTGCCATCTCCCCTACTCCCGAGCCTTTCTGTACTCCATTATCGTCCAACCCGCTGAGCTTCTTATAGCCATAGCAGAGGCCTTCCGACCTTCATCCCGTTGTTTCCATGTTTCCAGCCGCAATATCTATCGGGCCAATTCTTTTGGGCTAGTTCTTGCTACCGCCAGCCCCTTCAAGACCTGTTCCTATTTCTATCCAGTCCCCCGCCATCTCTCCCACTCCCTTCTACGCCACAACCACTTGCTGTCAACCTCCTCCCAGCAAGCCACTAGCCCTCCTATATCATCCGACGCTGCTGCCAACTGTTGTCATCCACCCTCCAGCACCCCCGTCGCTTCCTTCCTTCCCTTCTGTTGTGTTGTTTCTTTCTTGTTTTGCAGCGTCGTCGTTACTTATTATTTTTTATATTAGTATTGTTATTTTTGTGTTGTTAAGAATCTTTGTTTGTAACACTTTTGAAATTCAATAACAATATTTGTATTTCTGTAGTAGCTTTGGTTAACTCTGGTATTATTTGGTATCGGAGTGAGTCCAACCCTAATCCTATCCCAGGCTTTCCTAGCATCTACCCCTACCTAAACTACATTCACCAAAAAAAAATTCATTTCCTACCAACCACCAAAACATAGCCAAATGTGACCTAACCATAAATTACCTTTGCTTATTTTCAAAATAAAGCACCCCAAATTAAATTTTCTACACCCTCTAGTCTCATACACCGTCTTTCACCTCCAACTCTAAACCTTAGCAATTCCACCAAGGAAATACATGTCTAAGCCTATCCTAAAAGAGATACATCGAGAGATTAGCCAACTTCAGCGAAGGTTTGTGAGTATTGAGGATGAAACCCTGGGGAAGATTATCCTCGACCGGGATCCGGAGAATCAAAGGGGAGCAAGAGACGAGGGTCTGAATCTCTTCCATAGAGAAGACTTTAGTGATGCAGAAGACCGACCACGACGCTTTGGAATCCAGTATCAGAGGAGACCGAGAGAAGAGTCATCAATATGGAGAACGGAAGAACCTAAAGATGAAGTGAGAGATCCAACTCCAGTTCCTACCAGCTTATTGTAGACAGAATATCCAGACTCTAGCATCAGAAGTGGAGCGACCACATCACCAAGTGACCACACGTCTTACAGACAAAACACAACCTCAGAGTCTTACAGCCATATTACACCCAGTAGAACATCCAAGCTGACCACTCCAGGAAAAACAGAGTCAAAGTGAAGAACATGAAGAACCAATCTGCATCCCCAAATCTGTTCCAGCCAAGAAATGTTGCAATTGCCACAGATTTGGGCATCTTGAATCAGACTGCACAACTAGGGGGTAATCTGTTTCACTGAGTAGGGCGTTCTTGAAAAATTGGATATTGACACAGTAGACACTAAAGACGATAAGGATACAAAGGTGGACCAACTTCCAGTTGACGAGAAAAAGATACTCATAGTTCTAGTTGAGCTCGTGAGAGAAACTCGAACCGACTTCACGACGAGTGTCCAAGGCAGTCTTGAGTTCAAGTAGCTAACACCAGCGGCATGTAACCCCAGATAAGAGAAATCTAGACGTTATACTCATTCTCTCCATTGCCCCTACTGAGGGAGGTTCAGCACGTCAGAAATGGGACCATTTTGTGTCATTTCTGAAATATTATATAGAGTTATTCAGATGTTAGATTTCATTCAGCATAGTAATCATCATCAGATGTCCAGACACGAAGGATTAAACTGAACCTTAAAATTTCTCTTAGGAGCATGATGGGAAAAATACTCTTCAATGGGATCCAGGTCGTGTCAAATAAGAAGAAGAAATCTCTTCTGAGTGGTTGCTAGTGAAAGTGGTGCAGCCTACTATAGATTTCATCTCAAAGTTAATTTCTCCTCACATACTTGTTTATCAGCTATAATTTGTTGAGTATAAGTGAAAGAAGCAAGTTTCAAACATAAGGGCTTGAGAGTTACATTGTGGAAACCTACATCTATGTATATCTCCAGCTCAGAATGTGTCAGAAAAATATCGTATTTATTCTATCAAGACGTAATGGGAATAACAACGCCTACAAGATCGATTTGTCAAAAGACCGTAATGTTTTTGTTACATTCAATTTTGCGGACCTGGCTTCATACTTCGAGAATCCCGAAGCTTCGACAAATCAAGTCAAAGCACCCCCCAATCTCGGAAGACTTATATTGAAGCTAACCGGAATGTGGTGTTGTAGCTGCTACAGTACAGCTGACACCCAAAGGGAGAGGATCTCCCATTTCAAATCTATCACCCCCTTCCTTTCCTATTACCCGTATTTTCCTATTTCTAGTAATTATCTATTTCTCTTAATTTCCTATTTTTATTTCTTACATATTTATCTTTCTTTCCTCATTCTATTCGTTCATCTTGTATTCCTTGTTTTTTTCATTCCCTTCCTAATTTTGTTTCCTTCTTATTCTAATTCCTTCATATTCTAATTACTAGTATCTATCATAAATATGTTCGTTGTTGTCTTAGGGTTCAACTTTTTCTTCCTGGTTTCATAATTCTGTCCAGCTTACTGTCTACAGTTGTTTTCCCTTTTAGGGTTGTATCCGAAGCCAAGGAGGTGCTCCGGTTATAACTTGTACGAGGTGGTTATCTTCTCCAATGGTTCGAAGGATGCTCCGACTGTAACTCGATCTCTCGAGGATAGTTATCCTTCCCAGTTCTTGCTGCCGCCAGGCCCTCCAAGGTCTGTTCCTGTTGTTATCCAATCCCCCGCCGACATTTCGTATGGTTGTCCAATCCCCCGTCACCTCTCCTACTCCCTTCTACACCGCAGACGTTTCCTGTGGATGTCCAATCCCCCGCCACCTCTCATACTCGCTTCTACTCCGAAGCCACTTGTTGCCAGCCTCCTCCCAACAGGCCATCAGCCCTCGCTGCTGCCACCTGTTGCCATCCACCCTCCAGCAACGTTGCACTTCCTTTCTAGGCATGTCGCCCTCCTCTAGCTAGCATTTTATATGTTTTCTGCTGTTTTCTTTCTTATTTTGCAGCGTCGTCGTCGTTACTTACTGCCTTTTATGTTTGTGTTGTTATTTTCCTACTCTCAATAGTCTTTGTTTGTAACCCTTTTGAAATTCATATTTTTATCGTGGTTTAAGTTAATTCCGATATCAAATAAGCAAAAGCCTACAATGCAAAAAAAAAAATCAATCTCTGCAAATGCATAATTTATGATTGGAAGATTTACATGCATAGAATTCCTATGTATTTACAGAGCTAACACCTAAACTATAATGTTTACAGACTTAACACTTTACCTATGCATGAAAAGGTATATTTTTATTTTTAAAAGTTAAAATGGTGGTATTTTTTATGTGATATGAAAGATTTGGATGGTATAAATGTAAAAATATTAAGTTTTTATGCGGTATGTATGTAAAAATCCCTCTATTAATGAGTACCTCAGCAGCTTCTGTAGTGGATGAGAGATACTGATAATAATAACGACGCAAAGCATCAGTGACACAAGCTGAGCTTTTGGGCCAAACATCAAGATTCTGATCTGTGACCTGAAGAAAGGTATGGCACGGTCAATGTTACTTTATAGTCATCATAAAACATGAATAAACGAAAGATGCAAAACATAAACAATTAGATCTGTCTCTTATATCTAAATGAGGTTCTCCTCATTTTAAATGACATCTGAAGCGACGTACAAAGCATCAACACTGAAATCTTAGCGCAGAACATTAATTATGTTTTGGCACAATGCACAGTTGATCATTGATTCATTGTATTTGTTACAAATGCACATTATCAACTAAAGCAATTCCACAAGCATAAGTAACAAGCACAAGACCATTAAATTACACCAGAGCAGTGTTCTTAAAGAGTTGAGCCATTCTTTCTGAGAGCAAACTAATTTCCTCCCTCACCCAAAATCTAATCCATTTTGGGAGGCAAATAGAATACCCTACAAAACTAAGACTAATGGTTATCATTTACTAACAGCATGAACAAAATTACATAAATGGCGGCTAAGAACATGCATCACTTCAAAAGAAGCGTGTAAATAATAATTATTTTCAAGATATTAAAAATAAGGGGCATTTACAAACATAGCACACAATTCTTTACATATCTCACACCTAATCTTTCATATTTACACACACAGCTCTCAAATCTTTAATCGCATCAAAAATAGCATTATTATTTAAAAAGTGAAATATTTGTTTTCATGAATATGTTTAAATGAAAATTCAGGTGTTAGATATGCAAATATATAAGAATTGTGTGCCGCCTATGTAAATTTCCATAAAAATAAATTAAAGCTTCAAGGGCAATACTCACTTTCTAGGTTGAGCTCTTGTAAACTATTCGATCATACTGCAAAATTATTTGATCCATCGGATACAGCCCTAGCAAGGAAAATTGCCTGATAGCAGGAATCTGAAATCAGAAATAATCAAAAGCTAACCCTAAACAAGCAAACAACAAATATATAATAAATGATAGAACAGGAAGGGGAGGCCCCTCCCCTTTGGGTGACATAGTAGGCTCCTTTGGGCGGCAAGCAGAATAGGAAAGGGAAGCGGGAGCGGTAACTCCCGCTGACAGGCTATTCGGCCGGTCCAGCCACCTTGTTGGATCGGCTCTCCCACTTACATGTTGTTCAGCCAGTCCAGCCACCTTGTTGGATCGGCTCCCACCTAAACCAATCGGTTCAAGCATCAAGCCCCGCGTCAAACGCCCAAGGTTGAAGGAGCTTCAACTTCATTCGTTGAAGCTTGTTGTTCATCGATTGTAATCCTAACAGCACTTGGATCCAACTGATGGCAGGAAAAAAAAATCCTTTAAAGGATCCTGACTGGTGGCCACACTCTCCCAAAACATCGGATGAGTTTTCTCCACTTGCGAGCATACATTCATCTCGATCCAACCTTCTAGAAGCCCAATACTGATCTGGCTAGGGCCTGTGTGTCGCACATATATTGTTGGATCCTTCCAAAATAACCCAAGGATGACATAGTAGGCTCCTTTGGGCGGCAAGCAGAATAGGAAAGGGAAGTGGGAGTGATAACTCCCGCTTACAGGTTGTTCGACCGGTCCAGCCACCTTGTTGGATCGGCTCCCACCTAAACCACTCGCCGATCGGTTCAGGCATCAAGCCCCGCGTCAAACGCCCAAGGTTGAAGGAGCTTCAACTTCATTCGTTGAAAATTCTTGTTCATCGCCTACAATCCTAACAGCACCTGGATCCAACTGATGACAGGAAAAAAAATCCTTTGAAGGATCCCGACTGGTGGCCACACTCTCCCAAAATATCGGATGAGTTTTCTCCACTTGCGAGCATACATTCATCTCGATCCAACCTTCTGGAAGCCCAATACTGATCCGGCTAGGGCCTGTGTGTTACACATATATTGTTGGCTCCTTCCAAAGTAACCCAAGGTTGGCTCAGCCCAATCTGAAGTAAAGATAACATGAACCTCCTCGAATGGTGGTGGCCATGGCGGTCAGGTATCAATCGTGATGTCCTAAAATGCTCTTTTTCGCTCTTGTCCCATGTCTGGAATTGGTGTCTCAGTCCTATCATCTTTTGTCCTCACCAAACTTGATCCCACTGATGTTGCTCTACTTGCAAAGGCAAATGAGATCTCAGGCTCTGCCAAAAGAAGAAAAATATACTTCCCCTCCTTGGTAAAGGAGGAGGTGCTTCTAAATCCATCGTGCAAAGTCCTCAGTCAAATTGTCAATGTCTTCCAAGTAAAATGGGGCAGGCATCCATGAGACCATGATGCACCACACATGATCCTGCGTTGGCTTCCAATCGAGAACTTCACTAGGCACCTCCGTTCAATTTTGACCATATTCTCCTTCAGCCACATGAGAGAATGCTACTGGAATTGTCTCTTAGCCATGAGGTTCAATTTTTCTACCATTTGTGTAGATTCCACATTTTTATAGCTCCCTTCATCGATGATGAGACTGCACGCCTTCCTATTCACAGTGCAATAGGTATAGAATATATTGTGACGAAGCCACTGCAAATCCCTCAAATCCTTGGTTTGTAGGACCCATCGAACCATGAACATCTCACCTTCATCCGATGAGAGATGATACACCTCACAATGTTCCTCAGCTGTCTCATTGTTGCTAAACTCCTCCACCATGCCCTGTTCGGTAAAAGACACAACTCGGTTCGTCGAGCAGCTAAAGGTGATGTGCCAAAATCCTTAGCATTTGAAGCATTTTCTAGCGGGGAGTGTAGTAGACATGCTACTATTCTGATGTTTTTTCTCACTATGTGTCACGACCCGACCCGGTACTAGAATTAACTAAAGCGGGAAATGTGGTCAAACAATATTAACATTTCATTTTATTTCTAAAAAATTTAAGACATTTCCAGTATATGTAAAAGAGCCACTAGTCTGCAAAGTGCAATGTGTCACGACCCAACCCGGTACTAGAATTAACTAAAGCGGGAAATGCGGTCAAACAATATTAACATTTCATTTTATTTCTCAAAAATTTAAGACATTTCCAATATATGTAAAAGAGCCACTAGTCTGCAAAGTGCAATAAAATTTTAAACATCCAGAAACATCATAATCGAAACACAACATCTCAGACCAACATGTAAAGTGTCTCTAAACAGAAGTAAACAATAAAAGTAACTAAAGTCATATCATAAACTAATACATAGTGGTTCTCCTCCTGTAAACCATGTCTTTCCTACTAAACATATCATCTAGAACTCTTCTTCTCTGGAAAGAAAACATTAATTACAATTATAAATACTACTCGGTGGGTAATTATAATCTAATATGCATTAAATTCTTATGCTATGCTAAGTATGAATGACAAAAAAAATGCAGTTTGTTTCGTTACAATTCCTTTCCCGTTTCACTTTAAGTATTTATTAATTTAACTTCTTTAATATTCATCACAGTATTAATGTCATACCCAAAGGTATCCTCAAAAATGTATCATAATGCACCCTCAAAATGTGTCTGAAAACACCCTAAAAAATGTATACAAATGTACCCTTAAAAATGCACCTGAAGACGCACCTTTACTATTTTCTTCAGCATGCACGGGTGCATTGCATTTCCTACCAATACTATCTGGGGGTAATCATGTATGACTTAAACATTTAACTTTCATTTCATTTCATTTAAATCAAATCATTTTAAAGATATTAAATATTTTTTTCCCTTTCCCGTTTCATTCCGTTTCCTTCTTAAGCTACAACATGTATACAAACATAAAATAATTGTCTAAAGCATTAAAGAAATTATTTATTTCAAAACTGTAAATTTAATACATATAAGAAAATAATTACTCACCTTAGCCTTAGAGACCTTCGAGTTAATTTAACCATTTGCTTTGCTTCTTAGCACCTAAACCCATTAAATGTACATCTAACTATAAGGATTACATCCTAAAGAAAATCTTATTTGAAAATAAATAATTATTAAAACGCTTACCACTTTTAACTTTAGGATTCTTGTCTTCCTCAAATCCAAATGATTTATCGAATCTTCATACCTCCCAATCCAAAGAAATTTATAAAATTAATTAACTTAACTAATTACATCATTATTTCCATTAGTAATAATAGGTTTAATATCGACCTTACAAGCTTTCAAGTCAATCTCTCATTCAAGGTTTAAATCTCTATATTTAGAGCTCTGCTACAATAAAACTTTGCATTAATTAGTTATAGATACCCTCACACATAAATAATAGATTTATTAACTAATTTAATAAAAATCTAACATACATTAAAATCTTTCGGGAGCCCAAAAATTTTTCCTTTCCCTATCACACGAAAATCGTGATACTCCTCCGTTAAATTTGGAAAATAAATAGCTTTGATCCTAATTCAAATAACTTTATATTAGCACCAACTTAATTACATTCATACTCTTACATATAAAATAATATATTAATTAACTTCAAAAAAAATATAACACTTAACTTAATTTCGGCTCTGCACTAACCCACGCTCGACCACATGAGCCTTTCCTTGCCCTTCTTCCTTCGATGTTGTCTCAACATATGCTCCCCTTTCTCTGATAGGCAAGCACAGCGCCGAAGGTCGACCTCCTCTCTCGGCTTCTTCTTCCCCTTTGACTTCTTCTACCGCACGCTAGCGCGCCGAAGGTCGACCTCCTCCCTCGGCTTCTTCCCCTTTGACTTCTTCTACCGCACGCTAGCACGACATCCCTCCTCTTCTTGGGTCCCATCTCACCCCAACAGAGAACGCAGGCTTCGATAAGCTTTTTCCTCTACTTATTCTTCGTAAAAACTTGACAGCTCTAAAGCACATAGAGACTTCAATTCTTTTTCCTCCACTACTATGTGAGTACAACGTCAAAAAGTGTTTTATTCCTCCTCCTTCGACCTCACTCGACCCAACAGAGCAATGCACGACTTCAACAACTCCAAGCAACTCACAGCAAGCGGCATTGTTGACTCCTTTCTTCGTCTCGGGCACGAAGTTGTCTTACACACGAAAATCGATGAATTCCCTTTTTTTTCTTCTTCTTTCTCTTCTTCCTAGCACCGTGTTATGTATATGGAGTCAAAGCACCGCAAGATCCCGACGCTTAGGTGCTTAGTTTGGGCACCAAAGCACACATCTTTGGGTGCTGACAGAGAAGAGGGCGCTCAAGCACCCATATTTTTGGCGTTGTCAATTAAGTTGACGCTTAAGCGCCAGCCTTGGGTGCTTAAGCGCCAGCCTTAGGCGCTCAAGCGCTCGGTTTGCTTGGTGCGATCCTGAGAGCTTGGGGTTTAGGCGCCAAATCTGGGCGCCTAAGCGCTATGTGCAGTTACTCCGTTTTCTAGGTTTTTAAACCAATTTCAAGCGGTGTGATAATGGACTGGTTGTAGGCCTTCCTTGGGTGTTCTTCGACAAATTCCTAGTGAATGAAAGAAGAGTCGGAAAGGAGAATTTCTAGGATTTCGACGTGTGTTGTTCATGTCGGATCAGAGAAGGAAGATTGTGGAGCGTTTCATGTAAGTTTCCTTGTGTGTGAAAAGGAAACTGGTCTGAGTTGTTTGCAAAACTATATGGTTTTCATAATGAAATTTTTGTTGGTGTAGCTCTGTGATTTTTTCCCATTCTCGGGTTTTTTCATGTAAAATTATCGTGTATTTTTCTGATTGTTTTGAATTTTGCTTCTGCGCTTAAATTTATTGTTTCAGTTTTCTTGAATCATGTGATCATATTCCACAATGAAGCTAGAAGGAGGTTCTTTCGGATTAGTTTCTCCCAACAAATTGGTATCAGAGCGGAGTTCAATTCAAGTGGGAGCAATGGCCGAAGAAGTCAGGTTCACGGTGAAGAAGTTCAATGGAACAAACTTCGCCTTCTGGAAGATACATGTGGAGGATTTGTTGTAAAATTAAAGCTGCTATTGGTGATTTGCTATGCGAGTTCTGGAAAGTTTGGCACCTCTAAACATTCAATAAAAATAGCTTATCTGGAATGAAGATATTTGATCGAGGATTGTTGCTGCCGAGATTTCTTATCACTACACTCATTACTTCTTAATACAACAGCCAAATCCCAGAGTTACAGATATCCTTCAGTTAAATGGCTAGATGAAATCACAATTGGAAAATTGAAAACAAATGAATCCGAGAACTCAAAAGAAACAAAAATAATGGAATATTGTAACTATGCATAAATTTATTTGGAAAGCCACAACCATGAGGTTCTAAGGAGTCAGCAGGAAGAAATCAGTAATGCTAGCTGACCATAAAAGCTTAATGAAAGCAGACACCATCTTCATGAGCGGCAGTATTAGCTTTCACCAGTATTTGAGAGGTTGATTTGTACATTTTAAGACTGCTCCAAAAAAAAGGCCATAAAAATTTTAGATCAAATTACATGTGGCCAAAAACTTACCAGCATATCAATTGACGATGAATGCATTTAATTTTCAACCCACTGAAAAATTTGTCCATATCTATAAATCAAACAACATTGCATGCATTTGATCTCCAACACACTGAGAAATTTGATTATACCTTTATTAATTTATGGATAAGGGGGTAACCACCTACCTCCTCAATAAATGTCATGGCTGTGAGCCGGTAACCAGCAAAAAGCAAGTATTCTTTGACAGCACGGTTAAGATCTTTGCGCTCAGAATCCTTCAATGGGCCTAAAGAAGAATAGTTGCTCTGTTTCTCTTGCTGATTTTCTAGGCCATTAGTTTTGGAAGTATCAGGACCTGCAAGCACATATGGAGCAGCACTTCAACGTACTGAGCAAGCACAAAAACTCCATTTAAACAAAGAATTAATAGCAATTTTAAAGAAGGGACATTTATATACACAACACCCAATTCCTGTGAAATTACATATCTAACATCAAAACTTTTATTTTACAAGCATACCACCCAAATCTTTCATATCACATTAAAAAAGTCATTATTTTAACTTTTTAAAAGTAAAATACACCTATTCATGCACGGGTAATGTGGCATATATGTAAAAAACTGAAGTTCAGGTTTTGCATAGGTAATACATAAGATTTTAGTGTTAGGTATGTAAATCATCCTTTACAGGACCTATAATTCTAGTATTTGCACAATGGTCCTAGAATACATGAAATCTCAAATTAAATTAGGTTTTGCAAATAGTTATAAGCGACCATGATAAACTATTGGAGCAAGAATATCAAAAGTTTTGATGACCAAGGTATTACCCTATTATTACAGCACTAATATACCTCTGGAATATAGAGGGCCTACATTGAGCTCAACACAATAGTGTATTGACAAAAATTAACTCTAAAACTTAACCAACAACTAATACATTAGAACCTTAACTTGTATATTCAATTCAAATGAGGGATTACTCTTCACTCCCTCACTCAAAATCATCTAGACAACCCATCACTCCCTCCAAAAACCTTTTTGACGCCATCAAATGTTAAACATCAAGAACTCAATCAACCATAAGGCTGCGGCATAAATGTCGCCATTCTTAAACCTTTTTAACCATATTGGAAGGAACCAAGACTCGAGGAATCAACAAAACACACGAAACAGCATTCCACCCAAACCATCAACTCCAATAATACTTGTGAGAAGAATATATAGGACATTAGTTGTGTCAAACGGACAAGCTGTCGGGCGCTCATCCATCGCAACATGCTAAAAGGTGAACCATATCTAACACGTTAGATACTCTTTTACATTCACTCATCTCAAACCCCTAAATTCGCTTGCTCTGATATGATTAGAAAAGCAATCTCAGCTAATGTTCTAATGTGTCAAAAACACAAGCATAGACTTACAATCATCAGGAAGAGCTTCATTTATCTTTTCTAAATCTGTTTTGAGCCTTGCGACATCTTCTTGTGCTAAGCGGAGCTCGTATTCAGTGACCGCCAATTTCTCTTCCAATGCTAGTTTCTCCTCGAGTAACGTTTGTGGATCTGCAGCTGAATAATAAACAGAAAGAAAATTTCATATCACTGAACGCGAGATGGCGGGACTATATGCAGAAAGTAATCAAATCTCGCGTATTCGATCATAATTCTCAACTGTGCTCATCAGCCATAAGATAACAAACTGTAAAACGTATTAGATCAAAAACAACACCAGCAAATAAGCAAGAATTTAAACAGACTCCGCATTACCACACACCACGCATGCAGTCTGAGTGCTAAGCGTATATGTTTGCTATATCAGAATGGTAAGCGCCGGCAAAATCAAAGTAATTTTCAAAGTCTTTGAATGGTCTAAAAACCATAACAAAAAGAATTTCCACCAAATCCTTTTTGAATGCATTCTTCTAAAGCATCGGATGCTGATTTCCAAATCCAGCTTCAATGCCAATTTGCAACAGAGCGCCAAATGAATAACACATTCAAAGAAACATAAGGTAGAAGAAGATCCAGATACGTAAGCAGTGGGGGGAATAGGCAACCTTTGATGGAGTTGAAGCGTGCAATCTGATCGGAGGGAAAAAGGGCCGGGGATAGCCTGGTCATCCCGTCCGTCCTCTATTAGCTCGTGGAGGAGCTCGAAGGCCGTCAGCACATAGCCTTCCTCCAACAAGAAGTTCACCACGCAGTTGCACAGCGACGATCTCTCGACATTCATCGCCCGAGAGGAATTCATCGCTGCCTGCCGCTGCAGCGAGCGGTGCTTTCAGATCCGCGCCACCGCCATCGAAGAACCCCTGTAGCTAATCTAGATCTCGCGAGCGAGCCTCCAGGAAGACCAACAGCATTGAAGGAGAGGAGATAAAAAGGGGCGTAAATGAACCCATGCACTTGATCCAAAAACTCAAATAATGCTTGATTAACACTCGAATTTTGTTCAAATACCACCAAACTATTATGTATTTACATATTCAACACTTTTAGTTATTTTTTATATTTACACCACCCAAATATATATATTTTCATGCATCTATTTTAACTTTAGAAAAGTAAAATATATATTTTTAAAAATGGAAGTTTTGGGGTTAGATACATAAATAGGTAAAATTTCTATAAACAAATTTGAGCTTTTTTTTATTTACTTATATTTTCTAATGAAAAAAGTGTGAGAATGATCCCCCGATTATTTAAAGTGGGGTCATTTTAGTCATTGACTTTTAAAAAGTGTCGGATTGGTCTCGAGTTATTTTGAGAGGGGTTGAAGTTGTTCCACCTTTAAAAAAAAGGTGAAAGTGATTTTAAAATTAAGGGAAGAGCTACGAGTCGAAAGGGCAATTTGGAGTTCTAATATTATTTTGTATGATTTAGATAAATAAGGGTTTAGGGCTCTTATGTGATAAATGGGGATGTCATGACTTGCAAGATTATAGATTTATGACAGTGAGGCTCTGTTTGGCGCAGCGTTTTCGCTGTTGCGCGGCATCGGGACATCTTTTTCACTCGTTTGGGGCGGCGTTCCGTGATTTTGATTGAAAGTCGAACGCGTTTAGGAGCCCGCTTCCCAGCTTTTGAACTCATCATTTTACCCCTTTGCCCTAGTCATAAACTATTTGCCCCCTGAACTGATCTATCCTTTCCTCCTCTTCCCTTATTCCTCTTCGCGGACCGGCAAGATCACAGGAGGTTCCCATCGCAGGAGATTCCCGATCTCGTTCCTCTTTCTCCGACCGCTTTCCTCTTCTCCCAATCGTGTTCCTCTTCCCCGATCTCTCCCCTTTCCTCCTATTCGTCGACTGCTTTCGATCCACATTGAAAGAGGTCGCAGGCGCCAGATAAGGTGAGAAATCGTTGACATTATTTCGGTTCTCTCCGATGACATTGTTTGGTATCTCTCTGAAATTTTTTGTTATAAAGTTTGTTTGATTCTCTGGAAGCATGAAACTGGTCGTAAAAATTAGTTGTATAAATGAAGAGAAAAAATATGTGAGGAACTTTTTTTTCTATGGAACATGTGAAACTTGTCACATGAAGTTTGTGAAAGTGAATATTTAAAAAAGTTGTAAAAATTTGGTTTCATCCTTTGTAAGCTTGAAACATGTGAAACTTGTTAGGGAGAATGTTTCAAAAAGTTGTAAAAATGATTTCAAAAAGTTGTAAAAATTCAAAAAGTTGTAAAAATGAAGATGAAAAACATGTGAGGTGAATCATATTGATGCCTATGGAACTTTTTTTTCTTCACTCTTTTTTATTTAGAGGATGCATTTTCTTTAAAAAAAATAATGTCAATCAATAGTGGAGAAGTAGCTGATCTATTTAGGTTAACTAGCAAATAAATCAAGAACACGAAGGGTAAGTTTGAATGGGTGGAGTAATGATTTATGTGTTTTTATATTTTGATCTACTCCATATTTGCAATAATAACTAATGTTGGATATATATGTTTGTATGCATATGAGCAATTTAGGTTCTTCTAATCTTTTATCTAAAATTTGATTAGGAAGGTTTGAGTTTTCTTTTTTTAACGCTTGATTTGAGTTTTTGTTTGTCTCTTGATGAGATTGTTTGTTTCTTGTGGTGAAATCTGAAAGGTTCATGTTGTTTCTTTCATTTAATGCGAATTTGTTTTTTAAGTATTGTTACATTTATATATTTTGTTGTAGTAAAACAAATGACTAATAAGTCAACAGAGTTTGCCCCACCGGTTTTATGGGAAAAAGAAATGAAAATAATATTTTTCGATCTTTGCCTCAAGAAAATTGATATGGGAAACAGACCAACTACTTTCTTCAATAAAGAAGGGTGGCAAAATAAGGCAGAGAGTACGATAGGATGCAGTTGAAGAACAAGTGGGATCAGCTTAAGAAAGATTGGAAGATTTGGAAGGACTTGATGAACAAACTTAGCCTTCTGGAAGATACATTCTTCAATTAGCAGATATTTCTCAATCGGATTGAGCGCACTTGTAAGTCTTTATGAACTTGTCATCAAACCATCAAACCTTAATTTCGAGCAGACACCCGCAAAGATATCACACGATGTGCGTTATATGTCATTTTTCAAGGTAATGTCTTGAGAGCAATTTAGCTAGTTTTTTTTTTACAATGCAACGTTCTTTTATTGCATATCATTCACCTAATCAGGACTGCATCGGCACAATTGACGGAACACATGTTGATGCACAAATCTCAAATAATGAGAAAGTTGCATTTATTGCGTGTTATGGTAGCCCTACCCAAAATGTTATGGGTGTTTGCTAATTTAACATGTGTTTTACTTTTGTAATTGCTGGTTGGGAGGGAAACTCACACAATAGTCATATTTTTAGATCTGCAACACATAGTGAAAGTAACAACTTTCCACATCCACCAACAGGTATACTCGAACAAAAGCGCATAAAATATTTTGCTTTATTCTCCATATTAATTCTAGTATTTATCAGGCAAGTATTACTTGGTCGATGTTGGATACCCATTGCAACGGGGGTATCTAAAATCATATCCTGATACACGATATCACATATCAGACTTTGAACGTTCAAGTAACGTTATACGAGGTAGGAAAGAAGTGTTCAATAAACATCATCCATCATTGTGTGGTGTCATCGAGAGAAGTTTTGGTGTGTGGAAGAAAAAGTGGGTGATATTCCATGATATGTCTCCTTACAAGTTCCCCAAGAAGGTACAATTTGTGGTTGCTATGATGACTCTTCACAACTACATTTGAAGACATCATTCTCATAGTGATATTGACTTTCATTTGACGGAAGAGGATTAATAACATGTATCTGACGAAACCTATGAATGTCGTCTTGGGCAGTCATTGGCACAAAATGACAATGACGCATCTACAACATGTTCAGCTGACGGGTAAGGTGCAAGCGAGATGACAACTTTGATGGAACATATTACTGATGTGATAGTAGCCGGATGATTGAAGATTTACAATGCTTTTATAGCCTGCTTTACATTTTGTTACTCTTTGAATGGAGAACGTGTTATGCATAGATACATTCATATACATGATTTTATTTTATGGCCTTCTAGTGGTTTGATTACATGAGCTATTTTGTGCTAGAATGTAGACAATGATAACAACTATAAAGTTCAATTTAATTGTAAAGTTGCCTTTGGAAATATCTTAATTTCTGCATTACCGTAAAGTTGCCTTTGAGAATAGCTCAATTTTTGTATTACATTTGGGAATTCATGCTTTTCAAGTTCAGCATTGTCCTGCTTCAAATTGTATTTGGGAATAGCTCAATTTCTGCATTACTTTCTTGTTTTGTAGAGCATTGTTTGACAATGCTCAGGCTTTAGATTTCCATGTAGTCCATGTAGAAATCTGATTCTACTTCCTTTCTGTGCTCACGGATCTGCCTCACCTGTAGAAATATGTTTTTTCAGAAGTCTGATTTTGTAGTTTTTGTGGTATTCGTGGTCTTGCAGAACTTTGCATCAACAATATTTGTAGTTCTGTGGAGTTTTGTTTTTACAGATTCCAGCTTAAGCAAATTTTCTCAGCTACTTCTGCATTAGAGAGAAATATTTGTAGTTTTGTGCATCAACAATATTTGTAGTTCTGTGCAGAACTTTGCTGTAGTTCTGTGGAGTTTTGCTGTAATTAATTCTTTTTTTAGATTTTAAGATTTTTTTTATTTCGTATACCATTCAATTCGTATATATATTCATAAATACATAAGAATTGTGTGGTATGTATGTAAATTTTTTTATTCTTCTTCCATTTTTTTTTCTCTCTTGATGTTTGGTGAATCTGATTTGTTAAACATTTCAAAATTTTCTAGTAGCAACCTGCATCAAAGCTGACACGCATACTACAATTTTGTCCTGAAGGAAATGTCAGAACTGCCATTATTTGCAGCATGAGTCATGCCATTAGCCATGTAGAGCAATCTCGCAGCACACTCTCCTTTGCTTCTTGTGCAAAAGAAATTACAAATTCTGCTGCATAGTTATTTTCTTTAATGCGTTATTTTCGGCAAATGCCAAATACATACCTTTGCTTTCACAACATACCGAGAATGCAAAATGGAAGTGGCTGAGTACTGGGATGTTGTATATGGATCGTATATAAGTAATTGAACTGAATTGCAGGGGAAGATATCTGGGGTGCAGCAGTTCGAGCGACTTCGTCATTATTGTAGAAATCTGGGGTGCAGCAGTTCGAGTAGCTCACCGAGAACCTCAATAAATAGGAATTGGGTGGTATATATGTAAATGCCCCTATTTTTTTTCGGTCTTGACATTGTGCATTGAGATATCACATTAATTGCACATTTTTCTCCCTGCACTCAATTTGCTTGGTGCGGCATGCATGTATTGTCTATTTTTGTTGTTAAATAGTTTGATTTTAGCTAATTGAGTACACATAAGTTTGTATTGGTTTTTAGGGGCACTTACAAGCATACTGCCTAATTCCTATGTATTTACATATCTAACTCCTAAACTGTACTGCAATGTATATGGTTTCTGAAGCTGAAGCCTTTTATGGTTGATGAAGCTGAGGCATTTACATGGTATAGGGGCATTTACATGCATACTGGTTTGTATTGCTGAAGCTGAAGCCTTTCATGGTTGATGAAGCTGAGGCTTTTTATGGTTGCAATGTATATGGAGTTTATTTTATGCTGAAGCTGAAGCTTTTTATGGTTGCAATATAGATGGAGCTTTTTATATTATCGAGCAGGATTTGGTAGCTGAAGCTTTTTGGTTATGTGGTAGATGAAGCTTTTTGTATTGCCTGGAGATTGCTTGGTTTTCATATTACAAAACCTTGGTTTTTATTTGTTGTTGATAGAGATGATACAATTGAAGTATGTGTGTAATTGTATTGTAGTT